AGTCAGAAATTGAGAATTCGGGTAAGTGGTACTTGGCCCCCGGAGCCAGCACATTGGTGAGTTTTTGGGTTGTCTCAAGTCGACGGTCTCGATGGGCTTGTCACGGACCGCTCGCCTCAACGCGGCGGCAAAATGTCGAAGCAGTGGTCTTCCTACATTCAAATTCGTCTTTCCAGTCACCACCTTCCCACAGCTCACCACACGGGGGCTCGGTCCCACCTGCCCCTTTCCGTTGTAGGAGGCTACCACGAAGCGACTAGCGGGCGTCCAGGGGACCATTGATTGTGTCAATCCATGGTCCTTAGGCGCTCGCCATTCTCTTCGCGGTAGACTCCTACAACGAAACTGCGGGCAGGTGGGACCGAGCCCCGGGCTGCCATCTAGACTGCTGGGACGTGAGCCGGGGCTAGGTCCCACTTACACGAATTAAGCGGTATTGACCGTAGATAGCAAAGATCAACGGCCAGAATCTCGTAATCCGTGCAAGTGGGACCTTGTGAGTGCCACCCTTGAGATTTCACCCAGGTTCACCTTGGGGCCAGGTCCCACTAGCAGCGTTGAGTTTCCTCAACCCCTGAATCTGGACGCGTTCGGGGAGATGTGCGGTTGAGAAACGCGATTTCTGCACATATCCACAGACACGTCCAGATTCAGGCGTTGAGGAAACTCAACGCTAAGAATGGGACCTGGGCCCCGGTGAGCAATCACCACGGGAATTTTCATGTAGGTGTGAGTTGTGGGGGAGGGCGATGCTGCAGCCGACTCAGTAAACGTCCTGTATTTCCTGTTTCTTTTTAGTTTTTAGTTGTTTACATCGTATAGCATGCAATGTTAATGTTAATGTTAAGGTCAGGGGGTCTCCTCGGTTGCTTTTTTTGTTTTTTCTTTTTTTTTTCTTTTTTTTTCCGAAAAGTCGATTGCTTTCCACTTCCGTGTGGCTCTGTTTTTCTTTTTCTTTCTTGTTTTAATTGTGCGACGGGTAACTGAGGTATGATGACCGGCCTTTCCGAGGTTATTGAGAGGTATCTCATTCACGACTCGAACATTCACGACTCGAACGCGGGTCTGCTTATCAACAATTATATAGGGGTACCACTCGCTGGACTACTGTAGATGTTGCTTATGCCTGTTCGGCTGTTTTTTTTTTTTTTTTTTTTTTTTTTTTTTTTTAAGGGCGACGGCCTTGAGGCGTCATCATGGGACGGACCGACCCCAGCCTCCAGGGAATTCAGAAGTAGAAGTAATTAATTTCGTTCATGTAGTGCCATTCGGATTCGATCTCAGGTTTGTATTTCAATTTCGATTGTGCATGGATTAGGCCCGATGGTGGGCCCGCTCGTTTTTTGTAACTTGACGAGGCAAATTGCGGCAAGTGGACGAGGCAGACAAGGTACCTCAGGGCATACTCACACTACTCACACTACTTTCCTGGATGCATCTGACTTAAATACGGGAAGTCTTGAATGTATATGACCGGAATTATGTCCATAGTTCAGTCGGAAACGCCATCGTGTGAGTACTATGCCCTCAGTCGTTCGGGACATTCGTCAAAATTGTTACGATACAGAGAAGATTAGCATGTCCCTTGCGCAGGATGACCCACACGAGGTGCCTTACGCTGAGCCTCGTGGTTCCGTTGTTTAGCCCGCAGAAAAAGTGCATGCATGTAGAAAGCAGGAAGATAAAAGCAACAGTGTGCAGTGAAGTTGACCTCCTCGAATACAGCGAAACTCGTAATGACTGTGTAGGACTGCTCCTCGAATACAGCGAAAATCGTAATGACTCATTATGACTGTGTAGGACTGGAAAGAAGGCTTGTTTACATTAGTGATGCCCGGAAAGAGGGCTTGTTTACATTAGCGAAACTCGTAATGATTGTATCGGACCGGAAAGAGGGCTTGTTTACATTAGTGATCAGGGTCCGTCGTGTTCGGGCCAAGAGGGTAATAAATAGTGTGTTGACGAGGGTCCGTCGTATTCGTGGGTTCGTCGTATTCGTCCGCGTTATGCGAAAGGCTACGAATTGTGGAACTTGGAGCTGGGAATTCTGTCTGTCTGTCTCTCTCTCTCTCTCTGCGGTCCGGTTTTGTCCCTCTACTTCCTCTCTCTCTCTCTCTCTCTCATGCGTGGGAGCAAGCTAACCGTCGCAATAAATAGAAGAATGTTGAAGACGATTTAGGCGGCGAATACTGATGTCGAAGGGCGAGTACTACCTTGGACTCGGTTTGGTTTTTTATTGGGCTTGTACTGACTTATGTCGACGACGAATCGAATTGACTCCGGAACTGAAAATTCCTCTGCAGTCAATGTCAGAATGAACCTGTTCGGCTAAATGGCAGGTGCAGGTGCGTGATCTCACGGCTATATGGCAGGTGCAGGTGCGTGATCTCTACCGGGACGGGGCTTTGTCGGGAGCGAAGGCTTTCATGTACACCCTAGGCAACGAAGTCGCCGTTACTTATAATTCACAGTCGAGAAGAACTATTGTTGTTATCTTTATTTCTGCAGTGTCTCGACCTGTATTCCAAATGCTGGTGTTAATACCAATTGACAATTGATGTGTTGTTGATTGTAGGGTGTGACTGATGAAGCCGCAGAAATTCTGAAGTGCCGCGAGAGGATGGGTCATTCCGCAGTGCCCCGGAAGCCGATGGGGCTCTACGATCCGGCCTTCGATTCCGACGCCTGTGGTGTCGGTTTCATTGCTGAGCTATCGACTGTACCGAGCCGAAAGCTGGTAAGATGTTTTATTTTTGCTTTGTATATGATGATGATGCGTCTGCTGATGATGATGATGGTGTTGAGGAGCCCGGGTGATTTGCAGATGACCTGTAAACGAACGAGAGATTGTGCAGCACATAGGAAAACAGCAGGCAGTTGATGATAATAATAATAACGATGGTGATGCTGATGATGATGATAATGATGATGATGATGATGATGATGATAATAATGGTGATGATGACGTGTTGAGAAGCCCTGGTCATTTCCAGATGAGCAAGAGCCATTCTCGTTCGAACGGCAGCAAGCATAAAATGCAGGTTATACTTGTTTATGTTCGTGTTTACGTTGCATGGATCCGGCCGTTGACGCGACCACGTCCATGGTATCATCTGAGCATGAACGTAGCAGGGCGGTAGGTCTATTGTCCGCGTGCTGGCAGGTGGTTATCTCAGAAATCAAGGGAATATTGCATCTGTAACCTGATTAAGAGATGGGGATTCCCTTTATACCAAGTCCCAGTGCCTATCCTATGTCTATACCCGGAAAATATCCTGTGGATATTATGCCCATGCCTGGGACAAACGGCCAAGGTTGGTACCGCCAAGTTTCGAGTTCTTTTTGTTTCTTTTCCCCTTTTTTTGGAAAGGGCCGACGGCGTTGTGATATCGGGGGCCAGGTCCCACCAGCAAAGCCAATTGGATTGAACGCCTGAATCTGAATCTGTTTGTGGAAAGGGTGCAGAAAATCAAGATTGAACTGCTTTTCTGCATCTCTGCTTAAAACACATCCAGATTCAGGAGCTTAATCCTATTCTCTTCGCTAGTGGGACCTGGCCACAGCATTGAACTGACCTGCCCCAAGGAACGTCATATTGGAAAACGTCTTGATATACCCTGTGGAGTTATTTCTGCTCCAGTTCATATTCAATCGTTTCCATTAGGTAAATTAATTCAGAATGATTTTATTCTGTTCATCTGACTATCTTTTGGATGCGACCTCGGGTCTGTAGACGGTTCATGGGTGTGCCAACTGAGGCCGTTGGTATTTCGTGTTTTTCAACGTGGTCACACTGGGCATGAGATTTGTAGATCGGATGGCAGGGATCCATGTATACTTTTCCAATGTGGTCACGCTGTCACGGTGGCCATGAGATTTTCAGATTGGATGGCTAGACCAGAACAAAGCGTGACACGGCCCCCGGAATGTTATCTCAACTTGTTGACATATTGCGCGGCACTCTTAGCCCCGTATGTCAATCAGACTGCATCCCGATGTCCCCCCGTCTTCTGGTCATGAGCATGATTTCGTGCTGTAGTGCTTAGATCTATATGGAAAGGTCCCGTGCTGGACCCGGTTTCTAGCAGATGCAGTTCCCCATGGTGCTTAGGCCATATTGTTATTATCTAGTGTGTAGTTGTCAGTTATTGGGCTACTTGCAGAATTCATTGATCCTTAAAAAAAAAAAAAAAAAAAAAAAAAAAAACATTTGCGTGTGGCTCGTCAGAGTTGGAAAATTTGGTCATGTAGATCTTGTATTTTGCCTAAATTTGTCGGTTACTACGCACAAGTTTATAGCGGAAAATATTTTGTTGGTTTACAGATTACTGAAGATATGGTTGGTAATCTAAAGCCGAATTCCCTTCGTCTTTTTTTATTTTATTTTGTAGAATTTCCAATTTTAAATGGTGGCCTTTTGCAGTTTACTGCAATAATAAACCTATAGGTTGGGAGACCGTGCGGGTTGCATTGGCCCAGTGCTACCGTCTTCACCCGAATAGAACGCCCGGTCAATGTTACCCCAAATACATCTATCATCTATGATGCCCATGAGTATGTTCCAATTGGTGGAAAGCTGACTTTTCGTTGATTTGAAATGTTTTGCTCGCGCGACGAAATTGAACAAGAATTTTTTTTGTTATGCTTGGTTTCCTTGATCGATGGTGGTGGGGCTGAAGGCCAAAATATTTCAAATTTAAGACCACCAGGTTATGGGCACCAAGCCCAAAAAAACATACGAAAAGAGGCAAAAGCAATTCTTGATTTAATTTTGTCGCGAGCAAAATATTTCAAATTTAACGAAGAAGTCAGTTGGAAGACGGTAGTGGGGCTGAAGGCTGCCAGCTCCCGACCCGTCTAACGTTAAAGGCTACCCATTTAACGTGATTTGTTCAGCAGGTGGTTTAAGCAGGGTGCTCAAGGCAAAGATCGAGACACGAATTTTTTTCCTTTTTTCCTTTTTTCTAGCGAAGGGGTAATGCTGATCTATATTGTGTTGATCCAGTCTTAACGGATGTGCTGAAGGACGGAGGTCCGAATTTTAGACACCTGTTTGCTTTAAATTCCTTTTTTTATATAATTATATATACATTCATCCAGTCCTTAGTCGCCATCCTTCGAACAGACGCCGTGTGTCTGTTGCCTTGTTCTAATGTCCTCTTTTGCCGCTTTTTTCAGATGGTCTGGATAGTTGATGTCTGCATTTTGTACCCTTAAGGCTTGTCGTTTGCTCCCATTTTGCCTAACCACCTTTTTTTTGTGCCACGAATGGAAATGTTTGCAGGTGGTTGACGCGTTGGACATGCTTATTCGCATGTCTCATCGTGGTGCGTGTGGCTGTGAGGAAAACACTGGAGACGGTGCAGGCATTCTAGTCGCTCTTCCCCACGGATTCTTTCAGAAGGTGAGAAGTTTGTTGCTGGGATGAATGACTCGCCTTGAAAATGTGCCCTTGTCTCTTGAAAAGACAACAAGAAGTGTGTGTGTGTGTGTGTGTGTGTGTGTGTGTGTGTGTGTGTGTGTGTGTGCTTTCCTCGTCACCATTTATGTGTGTGTGTGTGTGTGTGTGTGTTTTC